GTTGTTGTCAGTTTGTTCATTATGCTCTCTTCACTCTCAAAAAATGCTTTTGTATCGTCCGCTCTCATTATTTCCTCTATGGTTGTTTTTGTTTTTTGTAATTGTTTCCTCTTCTCGTCAATAATATTATGTTTATGTGCGATCAATATACTAAGAATTTTCATGTGAAATATATGGCTATGCTTTTCTAATCTTTGGCTTATGTTTGTGGGAATGAGTGAGTTTGAATTATTTTTAAATATATTGGTGCAGTTTGTGGTATTGTTTATGAAGTTGGGGACAAGTTTGTACTTTCGGCATTGTAATAAAAATTTTTTACTAGACTGTAACTTAACTAATTTTTTGGATATTTGCTGATATTTGTTAATTACGTGTTTGGAGTTTTTGTAGTTGTTCTTTATTTTTGCATATTCCATTTTACTGGTTGCTGCATACGGCGTGCCTTCCGTTTGAATATTGTTGAGTATTTTGGTGACCTTCCTCATAGGAAATAAGACGGTAGCCATGGACAAGGAGGAATATAATATCAAAATGACGGATATACTAGGAGACGCAAACACATACAGAACACTCAGGCAAGACCCCACGCTTAGGCTACAGAATAAAAACAACAACTTCGTTGACAAACTACTCCAATTGAACATAATCACAAAGACTGAAAGGAATAAATTAGTTACAAGCACTGCACTACCACCCAGGATCTATGGACTACCGAAAATACACAAAAAAGGAACACCCCTGAGACCGATTTGTTCGTCAGTCGGTTCCCCTTGTCACGAACTTAGTAGATACATCGCTGGGATATTAAAGAACCTGACTAATACCTCACCATATAACGTTAAAAATTCCTCAGAGTTTAAAGACAAGGTCAACAACACTTATATAGTAGACGATGAGATTTTAGTTTCGTTCGACGTGGTGTCTCTGTTCCCGAGCATCCCAATCGACTTAGCGATGGATGTCATCAGTAAAAACTGGACCAGGATAGAAAGCTTCACTAAAATCCCAAAGAGAATGTTTATGGACATCGTACATTTCTGCATCCGTGAAACAAGGTATTTTAAGTATACGGACAGAATGTATATACAACTTAAGGGACTACCGATGGGATCCCCGGCGTCCCCTGTAATAGCGGACATAGTCATGGAGGAGCTTCTGGAAAACACAACATCGAAATTGATCCATAGACCAAGACTCCTGACCAAATATGTTGACGACTTGTTCGCAATTATTGACAAGAAACAGGTGCAAAAGACATTAGACGCCCTCAACATATACCACAAAGACATCCAATTTACATTAGAGACAGAAAATGACGAGAAACTCAATTATTTGGATTTGACTATAAATAGATGTGGGAATACGCTAAAAACAAAATGGTACCAGAAACCGACGGCATCGGGTAGGCTGATTAACTATCACTCGAAACATCCGAAAAATATGATAATAAATACAGCCAAGAACTGTATAAGACGGATGTTCGAGACAAGTGACAAATTTTACCATAAACAAATAGAGGAAGAAATTAAACGGATACTGACACAAAACGACTTCCCTATCAAATTGACGTATTCCCTAATCAAGAACCATAAGAACCCAAAGAAAAAAGAACCAAGAGCACCAAAAATCTACAAATCTCTGACATACGTATCTGGGTTCTCAGAACGCTTCACCCAGTCAGACTGCTATCAAAAAGAGGATATACAAATTGCGCACAGACCGGAGAATACACTTAGGAACATTTTTAATAGGACTAAGGCAAAAATTGCAGAAATGGACCTGAATAACGTAGTCTATAAAATTCCATGTGACGGAGACAGCGACAACCCATGTAGGAGATTTTACATTGGAACCACTAAGTCGAAACTAAAAACACGGATATCACAACACAAGTCAGACTACAAACTAAGGCATCAAACATTGACACAAAAAACTGCTCTAACAACCCACTGCATAGAGACTGGACACACCCCCAACTTTGAAGAAACGAAAGTACTTCAACAAGAACGACACTACAGTAAGCGATTCACTCTCGAAACGCTACACATTATCAACACACCTAACAAATACAGAATTAACTACAAAGCAGACACCGAAAATTGCGCGCACATTTACAGACACCTGTTAGTTAGTAACTCCAAGTCAAACAGAGCAGACTTGCTTAAATAAGTAATTATATAAAAATTTTTGTGTTATAGTTTTAATATGTTAATTATGTTATATGTTTTGTAGTTGCCCTGAAGACGGTTACCGTGGCGTAACCGAAATATATCGGAAAAAGAAAAGAAAATTAAATAAATTGGTTTTTCTTACTCTGACCTCGAGCCGGCCAAACAATAAAGATAAAATTTGTATTGTATCCATGTTGAGATCACAAAATAACGAATCTATACCGAATCTTTCCGATATCGGTTTTAAAAACATGCAATCGTTTCTGGCTGCAGTTCTGGCTCCAAATGTCAGTTAACATTCTTCGTTCCTGTTCCGGTTTGATTGCCTGATATGCATGTACATACATACATACATATGTATGCACTTCACATAATTGGCTTAAGCAAATCTTTAATATATTTTGCAGTTGTAATTAGCGAAACCACGTAAATATCGCCGTATCACATCAAACTCTGAGTGCATGCGGAATTCTAACGAGAGTGTAATTTAAGAAAATAAGACAGAGTGAGAAGCCATGATGTGATTGTCTTTCCTCGTTTAGTCGCCAGGCACGTGAGAGTTTGCGCACGAGAGCAACAACAAGAACACACATACATACATGTGTCCATACCTAAATAGTTCGCCTCCTACGCACGGGCCAACAACGCAGTGCACTTTAGCAGTGTTGCCAAGACCAAGGCAATGGCGGCGACAAAACAGCAATGCAACCACCCACCTCTACCCCACCGACTACTTCATCAACCATACATACATATGTACATATGTATGTATAACGATACCGACCAACGAGGGACAGAGGCAAAGAAAAACGAATTACACACAAATGCATTTTGTTTGCATAGCAGAAAACTAAATAACAACAGCAACAACAGCCGCATCGAGTATTGCTCAAGGCGAACAAAAAATATATAACGAACCGAGCAGGCAGCGTCAGCGTCAACGTCAGCAGAAGACGGAAATGCCAAGACGACAACGACGGCGAATGATGACGAACGTAAAAACTACGCACAACAATAAAACACAGCACAGGCGAAAGACAAACAAACAAGTGAGCGAACGGAGCAGCACAACACCTGCAAGGCACCGCAACCATCCTACCCCACCCCGCCAACACACAAACACACGCACACACAAAAGCTAACGAGCAAACAAAACTAAACAAAATAAATAGCAATAGCAAATGGCATAAAAAACTACACACATACTGACACAGACTGACATAAATACATACATACATAAAAATATGTGTTGTCGAGAGAACAAGAACACAAGCAGACAAACAAACAGTTGGAGTGAAATTTATCAACCTTTGGCACTTTTGCGCTCGAGACTGCTAAATGAAATAATGACGAGCAAGCGGGCAACGGCTAAAAAAAATAATACTACGTCGTAGTATTTGATATAATAAGTAGAAAAAACAACACGCGCTGAAAAATACATTTTTGGCGCGCAACGAAATGTTCGTTCACCTTGCGCGCCGTCGCGGCCCGTTACATACTTACACATGTACATTCACACACACTCCGTGAGAGTAGAAGAATTTAGGCGTAGACAAATACATACAGACTTATCTACACACATAGATACGCATAGTATTTTGAGCAATCCCAGCCGCAAGCGCCCAGTGGTCTGTGTCTGAACCGCTCCTGACTGTCTACTTGTTTGTTTAATTTTTTGCCATTTCTGCTTCACATTTTATTTGTTTGTTTGACTCGTTGCGCTTGTGTTGGTTAGTGCCAAGTAGTCTTCATCGCAGCAGTAGTAGTTGTTGTTGTTATTGCTGCCTGTTTCTCCCCTACTCTTCTGTCATGTGCTATGCGTGTGTATGTGTGGGTGTGTGCATGGCTGTGGACTTTATCAAAACAACTGCGCTGTCGCTGCCGGTACGATGCTGCTGCGCAGTCAACGTTTATTTGTGTTTTGGCGCGCACTCGCACTCACTAGCTTGCCCCGTTGTTGTTGCTTTTTAAGCATGACAAAGCACCGTACAATTTCACAACACAACTTCATCATGATGTTCGGCTTGTTTTTCCACGAAACAACTGTTTACCGAACGTGGCGGCAACGCCGCTGTCACTGTCGGCGCCGACGCTTACGCTTGCTGCATGGGGGATGTGTGGGGCCGAATATCTGTGTGCGTGTATGTGTGTGTGCTCATTTCATTCAAACGTCGAGACGAGAAATTTTATTTCAATACGAATACGCAGCACAGTGTTGGCCCAATTATTCTCCCGTCATATTTAGCGGCTTATAAAATCTGACTTTATTTTGGTAGATTCGTTTCCGGTAAACATTTAACACATTTGAAATATGTAGATGTGCATTTATAGACAGTTAAAAAATAATTGTATTTCAAATAATTGTACTTTCTCCAAGTACACCCTTCGTTTTTTTTTTTTTTTTAGCAGATTAGGACAACAGGCAGTCGGAAAGAAACCAATATTGAAGTTTTGCTTTTTTTGTTTTTATTGGAAATTGTATGTAGATTTGCAAGTTACGTATATCAGCTGTCGATATATAAACTTACAAGAAAAATTATTATTACAATATTAATTTCAAACGAAATTATTGAAAAACAAATTAAACTAAATATAAATTTGAAACGGATATGTTGACGGTAATTTAGCCGCCATATGTCAGTTTTAGTTATTTTCCCGCTAAAATAGCCAGTTTAGAAGCACACATGCGCGCAACGCTGACACAGCGGCGTGCAGAGCTATTTTCAACGTCGTCGTCGTTTGCTGTTGCGTCGCAGTCGTCGCCTCGGTCGTCGTCGGGTTCGTTACAAATCGATTTCAGTGTTTGTTTGCAGTGTTTGTCGGGAAACAGCGACGCACAGTTCACCATTCAGACTCATTCGTCGCTCGCGTAAGGTTGTAACGGCGACAAACGGCAAAATAATTCTGCGCGCCTCATTCAAAAAGGCAACGGGAACACATTCTAACTGGCAAGCAAGTGCGTGCTTCGCTGCGTGGGTGCTTAGGTGTGAGCGCGAGTGAGAGAGTCCGTGTTTGTTTTACGATTCCAAGCGAGATAGAAATAGCAGCTGCCAGGCTGTTGTGTTTGCTAAACAAATAACGGAAAAACAAATACAAGGCAGCAGCAGCATATTCGAATTTTTGGAAGCAGCACGCAAAATGTGTTGTCAAATGTTCCAAAACGGCGTGTAATATGTAATTAAAAAAAATTATTTAAAAATATGTACGTCCAATTCCCAACATAAATACATTTAAATATTTTGTGGCAAAGTCTGTTGCACATATGTATGTATGTATAGATAGATATTCATAAGTGTGTGTGTTCGAGAGTCAAATGTGTAGAAAACAATTTGTTTTTTATTTGCGCCTTGAAATATATTTTTAAGTTATTTTTACGCCATTGTGTGCGTCTGTGTTAATTTTTGATGTTTGTTTTTGCGTTGTTTAATTTGCTTTCGAAGAAAAAATACAACAAAACGACAAATCACGGGCCAAACGGCAAACTAAACGTTGGCGCATGGATTTTTATGCAAATATTTGATGAAGAGTTCTTCGCGATGGGGCGACACTAAACTAATGAATATAAATCGGATTAATTGGATTTTCAAAGGGACTATCATTTTAACAATAACAAGCGTATAAAAAAAGTGCAAACAGTATATGAATTCTCTGTAGTAATTTAAAAAATAAAATCAATCCTTTTTTGGAATGCTGTGCGCTTGAAATTGTCAAAAAATAACGCATGTGAAAACAATTTCTCTATTAACAGTCGGCTGTTTAAACAATCGGTAAACTTCCTAAGAAACACACAACAACAAATCCAGTTTAACATGCAAATACAATTGAGAAAAAAACCCAAGCGATAAACAGCAAATGAATCAAATGAAATAACCGCAAAATTCCAAGTAAATCCCCCAAAACTGTGCTACTCGAAAACAACACAAGGTCGTTGCTCAGTTGCAGGCAAACGCAACCTAAAACCAAACTGAAACAAACTAAAAAAAAAAGAACAAATAGAACAAAATTAAACTATCCTAAGAAAAAAGTGCGTAAGATACAAAAAATCGCAGACAATGTGTAAAATAAATTTGCTAAAAATAGCGCGAAATGTGTCGCTTCTAAAAATTGACGCAGAGTGTGTTGAGCGAGAAATAACAACAACAACAACACCAAAAGCAGCAAACAACTACACAAAAAGCGAATCAAACTAAACAAAAATTAACGTTTTTCGTCGCAGCAACAAAAATACCAAACTACAACAACAACGATAGCAGTGCGAACGGCGAGTGAATTTTAAAACAGATAAAAAGTATCTCAGTCGCCGCTTTGGCGTGTGTGTGAGTGTACCGTTATGAATCATCTGTTTGCGCAGCGTGGTGCGCAAAAGCGCTTAACAAAGGCAACAATTCTGAGCTGCTTGCAGCACAATGCCTGCAATACACATGTACATACATACATACATACATATGTATGTATGTACATTGCACAAGTGAACAATTTATTAAATAAAAGCCAACCATGTGTGCCAACTAAAAACTAAAAACTTTGTTCGAGTAGTGTGCTAAAAGTAATATAAACTCGCGACCAGGAAGCAAATCAGGCGACAAAGATTGATGTCAAATGGTGCTCGCGTGCTAAAACGGGACGCCAAATAACGGTTAAGCGCAGTGTGTGTGAGTGAAAGCGCGTGCGTGTGTGGATGTTGATGTCGATGTCGTCGTGATTGTGAATATTTGTGTGTGGTCGTTTGCTTTTGCTCGACAAAATCGAAATACGCTTCCGTCTATTGTGAATATCGCCCAACACTTGCTCTTTTGTTGCTATCGTTGTAGTTGTTGTTCTTATTATTGTTGTTGCTGTTGTGGTTGTTGTGACTTGTGACATTTACAAGCGTCTTCTTAACAGAATTTTGCGATGTCTGTTGTAAGCGCGTGTAAAAATTGCGACATTTTCAGTTAATCGCAAATTATATAGAACATGTTAATATAGGCAGGCGGCGGTACAAAACAATAAACTGCTTAATTATCTGTTACACATACCTATGTCTGTATGTACATATGTACACAAATAGTTTAAAAGACGGCGTAGTTTCCCCCCACTTAAATCGGTTCCAATATATTTATATATGTATATACATACATATGTATGTATGTACATACTTGTATATAATATTGTATTTTATATTTAACGGCTGGCGATAATGCCCAGGTGCCACTGACCTAGGGAGTTGCGTTGCAGCGCCGCTTCGCACTGATGATGATGACGTGTAAAAACAAATTGGAAATTTCCTATGAAATCCATGAATGGAAATATTATGGCATATCACCAACAGATAATACATACGTCTAAATCAATACGAATCAGCTGCTCGTCATCTCTCTAGTCTTTTTATCTCTGGTCTTTAAATAAACTTTGAACGCAATAAAAATAATCGCGATTCTCTTAATTTTTTTTTTAAATCAAAACATGACCTTTGTCAATTTTTTGCACTTTGTAGAAATCACTATTGTAATTCAGATATGAACAAAACTGGTATCGATCTTGGGGAAACTCCATACAATACATATTAACATTATAAATTGTTTTTCGCTTTAAAAATTTTGACTTTTAAGCTCATTTTATTTGCCTGCAGTACTATGGGTACATACATGTTGTTAAGGAATATGAGTCATAGGAACCAATGCCACTATAATATATTTCTTCGGCGAGTATCACGTAAAATGTTGGTAAAGCACGGCATAATGCCCATGCTTATCTCACCTTTTTTGCTTTGTCAGTCACGTGACCACATTTCTCTACCACTAATCCAGTTACCTGCATTTGCTTTGTTATCTCAACGTACGAGTACTTATCTACAGTCTCTAATTGCTGGGGATTGCCGCAGATGGAAATAGTCAGATGGGCATTTAGAGATTTAAAGCTCATAGTGGCGCCTCTTAATAAAGAGGCGTTCCCGAACATCCCAGGGAGCTCAATCTACTACTACTATCTCAGATTTTATCGAAAAATGTTGCCCTGGGAACAATTAAGGTTTTCTTATAATTCTTACAATATTCAAAAACACCTCAAAACATGTTAGTGTTATGAAAAGAATGGAAAACGGGATGCGATCAGCCAGCAAAGAAGGGTTGCCTAACTTTCCAAAAAGTCGACTAAAAAGGTTAAAAAGAATTGTTTTATTTTTAACTAAAGCGAATTCTCATGTTCCAGCCAGCCAACAAATTTTTTATAATATTTGCTATTTCTAAGATTTCGATGTTATTTCCACAGAAAGAGTGGATTATTCTTTCCAGTCAACTTCTAAATGTGAAATATTAAGAGATCGTTTTCAAAAATTGAATAAAAATGTTTAGATTATAATTATTATGATAGTTATTGTGGTCTTAGAAATTATAGAATTTTATGATAATCAAAACATGCTTACATTTTAAAAAAAATATGCTCCTAATTATTGGATACTCTCCGTATTTATCTTGGGCAAAAACTAATGTCATATAATCCAATTATGAGTCAATAAAAAACCCTGAACATTTTACAACTAAGTCCCAGAGTTGAAATGCAATCGTTAATTGATTTTAAAACTAAGACTTTTTAATTAAGCTCCATTTAGACGAGCACCCTACATATGAAAGGAAGAGATGTATAACATATTCATTGACATATACGATTAAAAAAATGTTTCAGCGCTTTGTCAGAAAAGCATTCACATGTGCGGGGTATATCCATAAATTGACAATCAGTCGTTTTCGTAAAAAATGCATTTCATTAATCCAAATCAATTAAATAAGTTGCCCGTATGAATCTGAAGAGCTTTACTGTGATTGCCAAAATTGTTTGCTAAATCTAAATCTTTATAGATTTCGTATTTAAAAAACATCTTAATAGTGTGATATTTTGAAACGAAGTTCGAAAACGTTGAGTTCTTAACAAAAAAAACCATAAAGCAAATGTGATCAGCGCCCGAATCCCCACTTATAATTGTTCTGATACATCCTTAGAAGCGCTCTGTTTCTTCTTTAATTTAAAGTTTCAAAATCTTAAATGCGAAATACAGAGTACACATAATGTACATACGAGTATAACGCAATTATTGAGCAAATGGGTAAGACCCAATGCAAATGAGAATTGCGACCCACATTCTAAGAATTGCAAAAGTTTCACCAATTTTTTGATTTAGAATATATATGCGCAATTTTGAGATTGTATATTTCATAATTTTCGATAAATGAGCAAAAATCTATTTTAGCCGAAAAACACATAACAAATGTGTCATTTGTCGGATGGGTTCATACAGACAGACAGACAGACGGACGGCTTGTTATATAGTATAGTTTTGGATTCATACAGACACACACATGGTAGGCTTGTTATACAGCATAGGGTATAGAAATGAGGTCTTTCCTCCAAAAAAACCATCTCTGAACAGTTCACTTACATATGAATCAGGGATATATAAATAACATCCCTTAATGCCTCGTACGGTTCAGAACAAATATTTGCTTTTCTATTATTGAAATATAAAATAAGAAGTTCGTAAGCAACCGCTTGTGCAATTTTATGATGTGGAATCAAGGATCAATCGCTGAAATTGTATTTATTGAAAGATGTAGCATAGTGTGACTAATTTGTATTTTATGGGGTCCCCCAAAACCACAATGACACAGAACTGGAGATGAAATAGATTGGAGCTCTATTACCAGTAAAGCTCTACAGTGTTCCGAGTGGCGTTTTATTAATTAGCAACTTTCTAAACTGAAGAAGCCCCTCTAAAATATGACAAACACCATGTGCCGCGAGATGTTTAGAAAAAAATTTCCAACGTTCTATTAGCACCTCCACACCTCTGTTTGATTTAAAAAATAAATAGTAACAACGTAGAAGTACTTTAAAATAAATTAGGAAATAGTTATCCAAAATTTTAAAATTAGAAAAATATTGAATGTTGCCGCTGTGCCGAACAAATCGCAAGCATTGTAGGCGCCAATTCTAATGCCTGATTGAGAAGCAGTGTGAACGAGATATGTGTATGAGATAGGGAAGGACATATGTACATACATCGATTTATGAAAACAAAGTTTGTGCCATTTACCTAATTTCTCTATTCTCTCCCTTCACAGTGCTAAAAAAAAAAAAAACTGAATGAAACGTAGAGAGTGAAGCAACGGAAAAAGAGAAAAGAACAGAGAAGATGTTGATTGAGTGCATTTCGCGAGACATTCCTTGAAACGAAGAGATCCAAGAGAACCAGATACCCAGAGACCCAGAGAATCGAACTTAATCAACGAAAATAGAAAACAGAAGCTCACCGTTCAAAAGAAACCCACCGAGTTAAGAGTGATTTGGATCGAGCAGTAGTAGCAGCAGCAGCAGAAGAAGCAGCAGCAAATGAACTTCAATCCTGCCAGCGTTGTAGCCGCAGCAGCAGCAGCCGTCCACAGCACCACGCATCTCCTTCCTTTGCCCACGTTTCGGAGCTCCAACGCCCACGCCGCAGCAGCAGCGGCCGCAATCAGCATTGGTGTGGCGGGCGTCGGTGGCGAAATCTCACCAAAAATCATGGAATGGACCAACGACGATGCACTCGAGCTCATCGAACAGTACCGCTGCCACACAGAGCTTTGGAACCGGGCCGATCCCAAGTACAAGGACAAATTGTGCCGCTTCCGAGCGTGGTCCGAAATAGCCGAGCGATTCGGGTGCAGCAAGGCTGAGGTGGAGCGAAAAATGAATGTCCTGCTCACTCAATATCGCCGCGAGAAGCACAAGATGTTTGTGAAAATTTATCAGGGCATTCAGCCCAATCCGTCCAAGTGGTATGCCTTCAAGCGGTTCGATTTCATGGAGGCTGGCGGCGGCAGTCTCAGCGGCCTGTCGAGTGGCAGTAGCAGCGGTGGCGGCGGTGGCAGCAGTAGTGGTGCAAATGCGACCACTGGGGGCACACACAATGGCCTAAATGGCTTGGCGGCGGCCGCTGTGGCAGCGGCTGCCTATGAGAGCAGCACTATGGCGGCAGCGGGCAATGGTGGTGCGACGGGCGGCACCGCCAGTGGTGGTGCTACAACAACAACAACACCATCGGGCCAACATAGACGTATCAAGACCAAAGAGCTGAAATATTTTGGCGCGGTGAGTAAGCAAGTCGAAAAATAAAGCTAATGCGTAATCGGGCGATTTGACAAACAAACAGCAGTCAACTTGCTGCTCCCTATGGCTGTGTCTGTGCCTGCGTCTGTGGGTGTATGAGTGTGTGTGTGAGCCTTATGTGGCGTTTAATGCTAGAATGACCCAGGGATCAAAAAATACACAAGAGCCCGCTTCTTGTGTTAGCTTCAATTTTAATTTCATATTTCTATTATGGATATCGTAGATATCGGACATTAATGAATCTTTTCAAATACAATAGTTAATTGAAACCCTTCTGTCATTTTTCCAGTAATACAAAAATACTAAATATAATAATAAACCAAAAAAAATATACACGTGGACAATTAACATTTTCAAGACGATAGTACATAATACTAAACAATAAAAGTATCCCCGAAGAAGCTTTCGACTTTAATCGACACATGCGTTTACCAAAATTGATTTTCATTTAATTATTTTAATGGTTTGAATGGATTTAATTTAACGATAGGTTCTACTCGTAAATAATTCACTCTAACATGCCTAAAGTGTATCTAAATTTCACATGAGTCATGCGTCATTAAATGATTTGAACAATATACACATACATACATATGTACCTATGTACATACATATATTTTCCAACGGCAATGGGTTAATTTTCAACTTCAAAATCAATTTGTGGCCTCAAATGCTTAGAAATAGCTTAAAAGAAAATACCTAAGCTTAATTGACGCGCTTAGTGGAGTGACAAAATTCGGTTGTTCGAAGTGTTAATTTGCAATCAAAACAAGCGCGCAACTACATAACTGTGTTTGGGCCGTGAGTGAGAGATGAAAAGAGAGCGTCCATGTGCGCAAGTGACTTGCTATTTTGTATCTGTGAGATGATGAGCACGTCTACCGTTGCCGTGACGGAAAGAGAGAGGGAGAGAGAGAGAGAGAGAGAGTAGACAAGTGAGAGCAAGTTGCGGAGAGCTTTTGCCCCATTAGGCCGTTTTACATGTTTGTCAGTCAGTGTGCTCTTTTGTTATTGACGATCAAAACAGAATTAAAATTTTACGCATAAATTTTTCTTAGAAATTTGCAGTAGTATGCGTGAGGCATTGGCCTGCGCCACAGGCCCCAATTGTAATTGTGTGTGTGTTGTATGTGTGTACACTGCTTGTTGTTTTTATTTTCATTGTTGAGCATGTTGTTGTTTGGGCGGTTATGGGCTGTGAGGGGGTGTCGGGCGTCTGACATTTCGTCGACATCGTCGTCATTTGCTGTTGGCCGGTTTTGTTTGTGTTTGTGTGTGATGAAATGTTTGTTTTGCACGGCGAAATGTGCGACGGTGCGCGTAACACTTGCCTGCGTTTTGTTGTTGTTATTGTTGTCGCTCGTGTAAAACGGCAATGACGTTTCGTTTTGCGGTTGCCCACTGTTGTTGTCTCTTACTTTGTATATGTGTGTGTGTGTGCTTGTGTTTGCTGTTGTTGTTGTCGCCACTGTGATTCCACATCATCATGAGCTTTTGTTTTTACTTTTGGCTGCCTGGCGCTTACCTTGCCTCTCTTTCAGTTGCCCCTCAACCAACTTCTCTATAGTTTTTCACTTGTTCTCTGCTCGCTGTTGATGTTGTTGTTGTTGGTCCTACTGCTACTGTTTGTCAGAGTTATCAAAACAAAATACCAACAGCCAGCCATCCCAACAATTGTATCCATACGTATGTATGTACATAAATACATACGTACATATGTATGTATGTATATAGTAGTTGTTGGCAGTTGCTATTTTCATTTGCGTTGTTGCTGTTATTTCTAGAAAATAAATGAAATTTTGTGCGCAAATACATACATACTATAATGTAGAAGTTGGCTGGGCATTTTCTGTGTAGGTGTGCGAAAAACCAAGGGGTTCGAGAGAGTGCGTGCTGCTTGTTTGGCTAGATGTTGCTATTGTTGTAGCAACGCATGTTGTCGTTGCTGTCATCATCGAGCGGCAGGGGAATTTTTTTATTTCGTGCCAGTTTGCCAAGTCAGTTCTTAACCACCTCTTCTCCCAATCAGCCGCCTTTCCAAAAGTTGCATTTCTAGATCTATACACTTCAAGAAACAATCGTACACACCATAAAGGCAACTATTTATACTCTGTACATGAAATGTACAAGAGTATATTAGGTTTGCGGTAGGTGAAAAATGTAACAGGGAGAAGGAGGCGTGGCAGACCCCACGAAGTATATACATATATTCTTGATCAGCGTGACAAGACGAGTCGATCTGGCCCGGTCTGTCTGTCCGTCCGTATGAACACGTGGATCTCAGAGACTATAAGAGATAGAGACACCAAATTTTGGACAAAGATGCCATGTGTGTGTACGCTATACGAGTTTGTTTTATTATTTTGACTTTCCCACCGCTTCCTCCCTGTGGGGGTTTTTCCGTAACGCCGTTCGTATAATCACCTATATCTCGGAGGCTGTAAGACCTAGGAACATGCAAATTTTTTTGATTTCTATAATTATTCTACACATATGTACAGAGTATTTCAAAGTCGGGACGCCTGACTAGCTTTTTTACTTGTGTTATTTTGGTTTTATTTTTGACAGATGACAGGAGCGTTTTTTCTGGCAGTGCAGTCTCCTTCGCATTTATCAATTGGTATTGGGCAAATTTATAATTTTGAAATTTGTAGACTGCTGCACTAGAAACTTTTCTATATGATTCATTTTTTATACTCAGTCCACCTGACTTTATGTCCGATATTGTATGTAGACCTCTTCCCACATTTTATTCTATGGCCAATTGATAAAGTGGCTTGTCATTGATTAATTTTAAATGACTTTTCTTTGTAATCCATCGTTAAAAATATGTACATATGTATGTGTTTCTTTTTTTATGTCGGTATCATATCATTAGTAACATACAAAAGTAAACATTCAATTTGCTAACGGGAAGTTCCCGAAATAAATGCAATGAAAGTAATCAAAGAATCTGGGTTTCTGAGGTTAATACAAGTATACAGATACATACACATACATATGTACATATGTATATTGTATGTTGATACGGTGATTTGATAGACAACCCTAGTTGGAATTATATATTTTTATTTGTAGTGTACTTGGCTGGATGGGTTGAGGGTAGACTGAGCAATGCAACCTGCTTGCACTTTTTAACGCTTTCTTTCTCATTTTAATGTACTATGTAGTTTGCTTGGCCTGTTGGTTGTTGCTGTTTTCGCTGCTGAAGCGTCATTATTATTTGCGTGCAGTGACGCCCACAAAATACCACCCGCCCCGCCCCCATTGTTACACATACATATATACGTACGTACATACATACAAACACATATATCTTTTTTGCCATATTTTGCAATTGTTTTGCTACGGTATTTTTTCTAAGACTGCCACTGCTTTTATTGTTGAAGTTGTTGTTGTCGTCGTCGCGCTCTCATCGTTGCCCGCAATGTTGTGGTTTTTCGTTCGCAGTGACGTCGGCTTCGAAGTCGACGGCGAAGCTGGCGCCCGAACCACACGCGCTCCAGTTGCTTCAGTGCGTTGCTGCCCCCCTTGGTGATTGGGGAGGGGTTATTGTTGTTGTCACTGCTTCTGTTGCTGCTCGGCTTGTTTGTGAATTGCGAACCGTTTCCTATTGTTGTTGTTATTCAGTTGTTGTAATTCGCGTTTCTCTGTTGTTTTGTTTTGCCTGCTCTTTTAAAATTGCCTACAACAACACCATGCACCCCGCACACGCCCATCGGGCCCGGAAAAGTGCAACGCAAATAAGAAGCAGCAGGCGACGCAGCGACGCCGACGCGGACACCAACGTCGAAAGCAGCTGCGCAGCTAACGTTTGTTTTTGTTTACTCATTTATTGCATTGCAAAGTTTTTTTCTGGCGTCGGCTTTTTTTTTAACTGTTCACGTAGAGTTGCCAGCAAGTCGACGTTTAAAGCGAGTTTTGGGCAGGGAAGTAAAAAAGAAATAAACTAACTTCTATGTTTTACAACAGGTTTAAAAAAAATAAGTTGACTAGGCGAAACTGCATTTCTTCGCTTTGAAAACGGTTCAACAATTGTAAAAGTATTACGTTGAAGATTCTGATAAAGAAATCCTCATCCTCTTTCTGACATACAAATGACAACTGCAGAAATTTTTGACTGCCTTAGCTTCAACAGTAAAACGAAGGGATAATTATCAATTAAGTTTTTATTTAAAACACATAGTAAACACATATCATTTTTATAAACTTGTCAAACATAACTTATGATGTGGTATTTTTATGTGTGGGCATCATTATGCGATTCACAATAGTGTGTTCCACTAGTTTTGTTAGCGGTAATTTATGTATGTACATACGGTTCACGGTATACTCGATCTATTAAGCTAACGTCCGTGATATTGCAATTGGCTAAATTCCAGTGCATATGGCAACGCCGCATCACGTTGCGATGTTAATTTTTACGACTCCCGCCTGGAGTGTAAATCCCGCTGGTTGAGGTCTCGTTGACTCAATGCGGCTCGGGAGGGAACGGAACAGTCCACACAAAAGCATGAAGTCCATTGCTCATTCACATTTACGCGCTTCGACGCCGCCTCGTGCGCTTGCGGTTTATGAAGTTTCATTAATGTTAGTGTAGCAGTTGTTATTGTTGTTTGTTTGCGTCAGTGTGTGTATTGTTTTTGTTGTCATTTGCTGCGCGAAAATACTTCAAAAACATTTGCGTGAGCAACGCGCGACAGTCACAAACGGTGTTTGTGTGTTGGGTTATGGTTACCGGGAGAGGGAGCGGGTATGGAATTGCGGCGCATGGCGTGCCAAAGGAGTAGCTCGTAGTGTGTTATTTATTCATTGGATTGGATGATAATCAGTTTGTTTACATTTTTCAGTTGCACACGCACACATGCACAAAGCAAACACATACACACACATTCACGTGCATTCACACACGCGCGCACACATGCATACAAATTGAGAAAGAGAGAGAAAGCTAGAGCCTCCATCTTCGTCGTCGCACAGTTCATTTGGACTAGGTACGCTTGCTCTCGGTCTGTTTTATTTTATTTGCCTTAACAAAATAATAATACAGACATGCAAACAATTCAAACACGCACACACACACGCACACATACTCACACATGGTTGAATGCGTAAACAACAAAGCTGCAGCAGTAAGAATAACAACAACAAGGGGGAGGTAATCTGCTGGTGAGTTCTGCTGAGGAGTGGTGGGGGTGAATTTGGGGAGCTGAGCTAAAAACTTAAAAACAGCAACGACAAACAAGCTGCGAGCAACTTATCGTTGTTGTTGTCAATGCTTTTGGAAAGTTCTAGACGCCACTGGGGCCAGACAGCGTAGAGAGATAGAGAGAGAGAGAGTGAGAGATCGAATCGTACCATCACCGCAGCATTAAATTTTTGATCGCAATACTTGGACCTCAAAATAAGGCATACACACAAACTAACAGCTTATGTATGTATGTACATATGTATACTCGTAGAAAAATATATCGTGGGGTAGGTTATTATAGTGACCAGGAAAATTTTTTTAGAAAGCTTTTTCTATAGATAATTGTATAATGTATGTATGTATGTATGTATGCTCATGTGTCTGTAGTCTATTTATGTTTTGGGGAATGTTTCACTGTCTGGCGAAATGTGTGAAAGGGACACATTTTTTAAACCGTTATGCAGTAGGCTCTCCCACAACACTCACAGACTTTGTCGTTCGCTCTCAGCTGTGGCTCTATTGCTCTTTCTCTCTCTCTCTCTCTCTGAATGGTTCTTGATTCGCTTTTGACTACTACGTCGCTAGAATTTTTCGACAATGCTCGCAGACATTCGTTGACGTTTACGTTTGTGGTTGGTATTCGTCGCGTCGCAAAAAGCAACAAAAACTTGTATACGTTATTATAAACAAATCGGTTAATCGGTCTATTGGTTTCAAATAACTAACTGAACGATTCTCGATACTTCTGTAAATCTATTAAAACCCGAAATGAGCTACAACAGCAACAATATCGGCATCTCAACATCAGAAGCCACAACAACAACAAATGTAAATAAGCTTTTATCTGTCGTTTTCTCTCCGTTCAAGTTGGGCGATAAAAGTTCGCAAACTTTACCATTACGCACCTTCGTGACACCTTGCTCGTGCTATTTGGGTTTTATCGGTTGATGGGACTTTTGCTTTAATGTTTTGATAGTCGTGTGTTTGTCGTTTGACTCCCGAACCAAACCGAATTGAAACCTCCGATCGTTTGTTTTGTTTACGTTGATTAAACGTTGCGCATGCAAAATGTATTCACATTTTATTATAAACATACATACATACATACTTACATACATATGTACGTAAGTTTGTATTTAGTTTTGTTGTTGGGGTATTTATTTGTATAGTATATGTTTGGCTCTGGGTTAGTTGTCGACAACATTTCAATGCCCTGATCTAAAATGCTGGTACATACCCACAGTTTCTGAGGAAAAACGTGGAATTTGTGCAAACGTTGGTAATTATTATGAGACCGCATGTACTTGTATTAATTCAATAGTAATTCCGAACAAGTATAACGTTTCAACATCAAACTAAATAATAAATATAAATATATTTTAAAGAATATTGTAATTTTTTGATCTGATATTCATCTGTTTATAGAAATATACATATATGTATGCATGTATAAATGGCAAGTTTTTGATTTTACTGCTTTTGCTTTATGCTGTTCGAGCATGTAAGACCCTTTGCCTTTATCCCTTCTGGTACATGTTATAAAGAGGGCGCTCGATGTTTTAAAGTCGAATCCTCTCTGATTTGTTTACAAGCAAACACCGAAGGCTTAGGCATTTATTGTATAGTATATGTCAGGAGACTGAAGTCAATTTGAACAAGAGGTTAAGTAAGGTCCAATTTCTTGTTAGGTCATATCGTTCCTAAGAGAGCTTATTCTGGGTATTAAAATAAGTCCGCAGTGTAGACAGGATTGGTAAGCGTGGATTGTGTGATAAATGAAGCGAAAGCTATCTAGTGTTACAAACTAGCATGTAAATAGCACCATCTTCTATGGACTGCATTAATTATTTTAATGCACCTTTTAGAAATTTGTTGATCACTCCCGGTCTATGGAATCGTTAATCATAAACTAATTACTAAGTTAGGGGTTTAATGTCGATGAAAACAGAATAGGATTGGATGTGGTATCGTTATAGGAAAAGATTAGATGTGTACATTATATACTCGTATATACTATTTGTACATATGTATATCACATGATCATGTGCGTTAAGTCAAAATTGGTTGCGACTGCTTATCTGGAATAATACATATACATATGTATGTATGTACACACATATATTTTAAATTGCGTCACATAGCCTGTGTGCTCGCTCGTGGCGGTTTTAGACTTTGCTCCTTTCTGGAAAACCCCGACTAACTCATTCTTATCGTGCTTCTGTTTTGCAGATGGGCCTCAACATACCCATGCTGATAGCGAGCAGCCAGACGATGGACAGTTGGAACACTGGTGGTCAGTACTCGCCGCCGAACTCTGGCGCGAATAGTCAACTACGTGTACCTCTGCCCATGGCCTATGGCGGTGGCGCGGCGACTACTCCGGGTGCCAATCTCTATGGCGGCAGCAGTGCCGGTGGCGGCGGTGGCAGCAGCAGCAGCGACTTTCATCCCAGTCCACATAAGACCATGGATACGTCCGATAACGAGGACAACAACAACAAGGAGGAAGTAGTGCTGGGTACACTATCCGCGAAACTGGAGCGTCGCACACCATTGCCAAACGTGGTTGGGGGCAGCAGTGGCGGTGGGGGCGGTGGTAGCAGTACTCGCGATGCCGCTGAGCTTGGTGGCAGTGATGCGCTAACATCCGCCGCTGGAGCAGCTGTCAGCGAAGCCGGTTCTAGTCCCATACCTAACACTAACACGCACGAGGCGCACAAGATCGCCCACGCGCATCATCACCATCATCGGCAGCAGCTATCGAGTCCCTCGGCGCGCTCGTCCACCCCCCGAAATGCGCACGAGCAGCAACACCACCATCTGCCTTCCCACCACACCCTAACGCATCCGCCACACCCGCCACTCCCACACCCGCACCATCAGCAGCAGGATGACTTGGACATCAAGCAGGAGTTAGTCGACTATTTTCACGGGGCGCCCTCAGCACCAGCTCCTGCGCCCCCTGACTCTCATCGTTCCTATAGCTCTGCAGAAGAGAGTCGCCTACATGTTGCAGCGGCAGCGGCAGCAGCAGCAGCCGGCAGCGAAGTGGACTTTGTTCAGGATCTGCGCGTTACAGCTGCAAACAAAGCGGGCGCGCCTGGCCTGAACTTCAGTCACTTCGTGCTGCCTCCACATCGGCGGTCTAACAGCGGTGATTCGCTCCTGGAGGAGAAGTACGCCACGGCCATGCCACTGAATATGCGAAAATTGAATGCGGCCGCAGCAGCCGCTGCTGTCGGCGGAAGCGCCGCAGGCAATCTACTCATGAACTCGCTGCTATCCTCGCGCGACAGTATTTCAGATGCGGACAATGACGAGGCCACCGAATCGGCAGCCAGTCCGGGTCACATAAAGAGTAGTGCTTCCGCGCAAGGCGATGCCTCTTCGGCGGCGGCGGCTGCAGCGGCCGCCCTCTATGCCGAGAGTCTGAGTCGTGACGATTACGACTTTATTGGATCGAATGTGTCCCTCAAGCTGCGCAATATGGATCGTACACAAAGGATTATTGCCGAGAAGCTTATCAGCGAGGTGCTCTACTATGGACAGTTCAATGAGTTGGAGCGTACAGCACGCATTCAGCCCAAGTGACATTGGTGATTGTCGTTGCTGGGCCAGCGGGCGGGGGTCCTGTAGAGGTGGGCAGGGTGGGAGCGACTTGGGCGGAACATGGCAAATAAAACGCTACGAAATTCCATTGTAAAAATAGTTTACGAAAAATGAAAACCCAACAAACAAGCAGTACAATTTACTTTTAGTTGGCCAGGGCCGGCGGGCCGGTTTGTACAAAGGCGAGGCAGCGGTACTTAGTGGTCGTTGAGAGGAGACAGGGTTCGGGAAGTGAAATGTCACTTCTCGAGGCGGAACTACATATATAAACTATGCGACAAAAACCAAAGTTACTTTCTGTTCTAGCTCCAAAAAGTTCAACTTCAATATTATATTAAATAAGTCGCGGTTAAACAAGACCTGAGAGCCGCACGATGCAATCATTGAATCCATTGTTCAATTTGTTTATGTATCTTATGAGTAATCATGCTTTTAATTTCAGTTGATGAATGGATTCTTATGGTTTTCAGGTCTCGTATAACTGTCGCAATAATTACTATACATATGCAGACACATACCCTACGTAGGTTAGGCTTGTACACCTGAGACATCTAACTGAAGGAATCTCAGTATTACTTATAAAATACAGATACCAATATACATATGTACATATACACACATAGCATACATTTAAAAGTACAGGGAAGAGACAAGCATATATGATTTGCCATGTTGTGTCCAATTGATTCGCAATCGAAATAGGCCATCGTACAGTTTTTGTTTTTTTGTTCTTTTTTTATCGTTTGCTGAGTTATGATCAAGTCAAATTTGTTTGTGGGTTGCAGTGGCCCAAGCTCAATTCAATGTTGCAATTACCTCGCTTTATATAGACAAACTAGGAAAAAGAGGGGAAACAAGAGTAGAGAGAGTATGGGCGCAATGGCGCTTAGAGACTTGGACTTGGACGTTAAAGGTCATTCAGTCTGAACGCTTTTCACATTCGCGGCCCCACGGTGGGCGCCTAATTTTGCTCTGCACTAATTGAATGCCGCACGTGAAGCGTGAGAAAAGCAGTTATATTTATCTGTAAAACATACAAGCACATATGTATAAATATGTTTGTATGTATATACCTATATATGTATATAAATATATATCATTGTACCTTATTTTAAAACAGAAATGTTTTTTTAGTCATTTAAGTCTGGTCGCCAGCAACAAAACCAACCAACCAACCCATCAATCAATGCAGATACATAAAACAACAAAAAATCAACCAATATTAAATTAAATACATACGAAGCAAAATGTCGTCGTCACTAGTTGGTTTTAAAAGAAAACAACAACAGCAACAACATAACGTAAAATACACTACTATAATTATAAATACTATTGTAAATTGTTTTGTAAAATTATTGTACATTTATGATTTTTGCGTAATATTTAAGTAGTCTTATTTTTATATGCGAAGCAAAGAAAAAACCTTTTTGTAAAACAGAAAAATTATATTAGTTTACATGAAATGGGCAAAAATTAGTTAGTCATATGATTGAGAAATCACAGATAATGATGATGATGATGATGATAATGATTATGATAATGACGACGAAACGCAGCTGTTTTTCTACTGTGTTTCGTTTTTAGCGTACATTTACATTTAGCGTAGAGAGATTTTGAAAAAAAAAGAGTAGCGAGCAAGAAGTCCAATTAAAGGAAATGTAAAAAATACTTGTATGCAACAACATATTAGCGAGAATTTTTGGTATGTGTGCGATTAGAGCGATGAAAATTCAACCAAATTAGTTTTGTGAATGTTTCATAAAAAAAAAACAACAGCTAAAACGTAAATAAATGTGTACCTATTTGTCTGACAAGCATTAACAGCCGACTTCGTGTCCTTTTATTTTCGGGGGCCTATTTCTGGGAATTGGAACTAGATGTCTGTGTGGCATTTATAATTTTAATATCAACAATTTTACATTTTACGCTAAGAACAAGTGAGAAAGAATTGCGTATTATGATCCAGTCGCTGCGATCTTATAGAGTATCTAATCAGACTGATTGTCTCCATAGATCGAGTGGTCCGGAGATTTTCCGGCCAAGTATTGTAGTATAGCAGAGTAGAAAATGGTTATATTTTCTTTGCGGAAAAGCAGAAGTGATTTAAAGGCTTTATTCTAATTTTTGTGTTGGATAAAATGAATTACACCTATTCGTCATCAATTTAAATTTATTATAATCACATGATATAGCATTAAAACCATCTGAAGTCACCTGTCCCGATGTTAAAGGATATGTTCCATATATCTACCACCCTCTTAATCTTACAACATCGTGTAAATATCCCTTTACGAAAACATAAATAATTGGAGCTAAATATGATTACAGTGTAGTCCAACAGGCATCAATAAAACCGCTTAATACTTACTCGACGACTGACTACTCTACCCGAAACTCTATCACAGGGATAAGCCAAACATTCACATACTCGTATATACAAGATAGCTTGTGTCTATATTTTAACTTCTTAGATCTTACCGTTTGGGCTGTGATTGCTCGTGTAACGATTTTTTCCCGAGAAAACATCAATATCTCAGGCCCCAGGAAAAATAAGACAAACCAAGCACACAGTTCCTTTGTACTCTTTCCGAGAGTATACAAACCAAGTCTGAAGTTGATCGGATGAATGATTTTTCATAGAAACGCTGAGCCCGTTTTCCCCCTTTCGAGCTCGAATTTTCCGTTTTCCAATCTGTTAGTCAGGACAAACTGTCTTATATATACTCTATATATATTGGCAAGACTATATCTGCTGAGACGTTCAATGTTCATTGATAATAAAACCTGAAAATATCAGCTTTAATAAGAATAAAAGAAAAGACAATGATTTGTTTTTAATAAAGATTTAGGCTCTACTTTTTAAATAAAAGCGTTAGAAATTGGAAAAACAGAAACAAAGCCGCTACGCCAAGAAAGTAAAAGCCGTACGCCATGTATTGACCACGAAGGCTCAGGCCAAAGCCCGAGTCTGTCACGACCACTATTGTTAGGATCGTCTGAAGTATTAGAGCCGCCAGTGTGTTGATTCCAAAGACTAAGCCAAAGCTGTCGTCAACGACATTTTCGGCCACAATGGCTCCAGCTACCGTAATGATGAAGAAGAATATGCCCGAGAAGATGGCGTAACCGATGTATGTCAGCCAAACCTCGTCGGTTCTGGCCGAGACTAGCAGCAGGACACCCAACACAGCCATGCAAGTGGAGTTGAAGAGCATATAGCGGGTGCGGCGCTTGTTGCTGTTCAGCATTCCGGCCGAAATGGCGCCCAGAGCACCCAACAACGTGGCCACGGCCTCGACCCCGCCATTGTAGACACTGAAATTGTTGGGAGCGACCTCCTTCCACAGGAACTGAATGTAGGAAACGACTAGGATCTGACCACAGGTGGCCAGAGCCCACCAGACACTCCATTCCACAACAATGGGATTGGTGTAGGAGGAGATGAAATGGGAGCGGAGCAGTCGGCCAGCATTAGTGAAGGAGAATTTGGGGGGCTCCTCTGAAAGAGTTTCAAGTATTGGACATTAGGGATAGCACCCGTAGAATGTTATATCAGTAATGCCATACCATCTGACTTTGTGGAGGGCTCAGAAATCTGCAGCGACTGAACATTTTCAGGATCCACATGGAAGTACAGGCTACGAGGCACCCTCGGAAGCATGAGGGCGATTGGCAGTGAAATGATTTGCGACGCAAACGATAAAAAGTGCAGTCCACGAAAATCCATGGAACCAGTGGACACGAGGACTTGGGCCAGGACGCCACCTAGAAATTGTCCGCTTAATATGGCGGCTCGCGAATGTCCCGTCACAATCTGATATCGGTCGCGACTAACTTTTGTGTATATATAGGTGTAGTAGGCCACTTCGGCCGCAACGACTGTTCCGTAGAATATCTGCGCGATCTGCAGCTCCAGCAAAGATCGCGTCCACAGCAGCATTGCGAACACAATAATTCCTGCCACAGTGGACAGTACAATTATGGGCTTGTATCGTATAAAATCCGTGACCAGGAACACAATTATCAATTGGGCCAGATGGGCGTAGGTGCCGAAGGGATAGACCTCCCTGTTGACTTGGTCTGTGGTAATGTTGCGATAGTTCCCGGATAGATATTCGGTTCCAAATGGGTCTGAAGGAGTGAACTCCCGGAAAAACCCAAAAGTACACAATAGCAAGGAAATCTTAAGCCACTGCTCCATAATTTAACTTCCTTCTTTCAACTCGTAAATAAATTGTTATAATAATAAGTTTAAAGTTGTTCCGCATTCTATATTTTCGAGAACTTAAAGAGAGTGCGCAAATAATTTTAATTCACAGACTGTCTCGAATGCTGGCGTCTTGCGCACTGACCAGTTCTATACCCTACTTAAATTTTCTTATAATTTACCGATTTGGATAACCTTTATAATGAAAAAATGTATATTAATTGTAAGTATACAAAGATTAGTTTATATAGCTTTGGAATGCTGGACAGTACAAATGAAATAGCGGTGGATATTAATTTTATTATCCTTTGGATACAGGATGTAAAAGGCGCAGTACTTTAAAAATAATGAATAAACGTAATTTTCGGGGTCACACCTACATATAAGAGGGATCTGGTCGGCCTGCTTTGAAATGTTACATTCTACAGCACTGTTCCAAAACTCTTTGTTACTCATCGAGTAAAGGGTATAATAAGCTGTGAAAGAGAGTCTTCGTCGTTTTACAATAAAGTATTTCCCTCAGTTAGTTCTGGTTACGCTCTTTATCGTCCGAGACATAATGACAATGTTTGTACTTACATATGCGATTTCTGCTAGATTGTTATCAGAACACTATAATAAATATATTTTATGGGCACTTGATGATAATATATATACGTAATTCTTCTTCTTTTTTCTCTGAAGAAATTAGCTCATTTCTTTAACATCTTGTTTCTTAGATATCGATAATTGATAATTGCTTTCATTTTATTCAAGGAACTTCCCCCATCTGGTCTAATTAAGTCTCTGACTACTGTGCTGGCCGTTTGGCAAATAAATTCCCACCACCGAGTCGGATTCGTTATCAGATATTATGGTAATTTGTATAGGCTTTTTATACCCTGTACCCGTAGGACAGACGGACGGACGGACGGACGGACGGACGGACGGACATGTCTAGATCGATTTCTCTCGTCATGCTGATTCAGAATATATATACTTTATGGGGTCGGAGATGCTTCCTTCTGCATGTTACATACTTTGGACAAACCTAATATACCCTTTTTTCCCTATGGGTACAGGGTATAAACAAATTTGTTTGAAAAGAAATTAATTCAGCAATTTTTAGCGACTGTAACCCTCAAATTTTTAAGAAAGTTGGAACAGCCCCCTTGAAATATAATAATTGATATGTTGGTTGATTGAGCTAAGATCGAGTTGGTTCAGAGATTTGGGCCTTAAAAAACTACTTTTTTAAGACTTTAACGGGAAATATAAAGTGCAGACCATGAAGAAAAGTTCGTTGCATCGCCTTTGGCTTTAAACGGAGATTATCAAATGCGGGCAGATTTTAATTTGGAAGTTTTCTCAAATCAAAAAAGGATTGTAAAACAAATGTCCAAATCGTGTTACTGTGTGAAGAACACATGTTAGCATTATTTACGCATAATTAAATCGAATTAGGAAAGGGAAACAGGTTTTAGGGAACATAACATTTTAGGGAATAGGATTGGATTCAATGGTCATCCATAATATCATTATTTGGAGTTCTAATATCCAAAGATTTTTATACCCTGTACCCAATTGGTAAAAGGGTATACTAGTTTTGTGCGAATGTATGTAACATAGAGAAGGAGGCTTGGCAGACTCCACAAAATAATTTTTGGAGTTTTGTACTCAGTTTTGTTATAGACCTCCAGTTAGTGATTATGAGTCCAAATTTCATTACGATACGTTAATTATGAAAAAAGTTATAGCCATAAATATACTCTCTGCCGAAGCTCTGTCCGTAGCTGTTGTTGTTGTTGCTGCTTCGACTTATTCCTGTACTGCATACATACACGCATAGACACGTTGATGTAAAAGTATGCTGTTGAAACTGTACATAAACATGCTTCACTTTTGTGTGTACATATGTATAAATGGGCTGAATATGTTTTAATTAATTTAATAAATGAATTAAATTTGTATAGCCTGTACCCAAAGGGTAAAAGGTTCCCCAGAGCCCTCTGGGCAGGTCAAATTTGTTTTTTATTCTGTCCATATGAGAAGTTTCATCATGATAGGTCAATTTTGAAGAAAGTTATAGCCATAAATAAAATGCTGCCAATGCTCTGCCTGTTGTTGCTGCTTTGGTTCACCTTTATTCCGCATCCATACACACATATAAACACGGATAGACACGATTCTGATGTACATGTATGCTGTTGAAACTGTACATGAACTTGCCCCACTTTTGTATATATGTATTGAATAATTTGTATTTGATTTAATTAAATAATTTTAAAAATATAATTTTTAAAATTAATTTACAATTTATTTTTTTCATTTTTTACTTTTTGGTGGGAGGTACAGGGTATTTAAGAGTTGAGCTCGCTCGATTTTAGCACTCCCTTCTTGTTTCAAATTATTTTTTTGTTTTTAATTTTCTTTTTTTTGTGGAGAGTACAGGATATTTTACAGTCCGACTTGCTCGACTGTAGCGTTCTCTCTGAAAGTCATATAGGGATTGATATAAAATTCGCTTCGTTGCTTATTTTTCGAAAATCAAATCAAAATTCGATTGAAACGGATTGTAAGAGCTTAAGGCCGTTGCTTTTATACTTTCACCTAAAATAACAAAAAATCTACAATAATTTACATTTTATTCTACTAATAATGGCCTCTTACGACTTTTTAAATAATTTAATTAACAATTGTACGAGGAAAAACACAGCTGCTATGCTGAGAAAGTAAAAGCCGTAGGTCAGATATTGGTCGCGTGGATTCATGCCAAAGCCGTTATCCGTCACGACCACTATTGTTAGGATCGTCTGAAGTATTAGAGCCGCCAGTGTATTGATTCCAAAGACTAAGCCAAAGCTGTCATCAACGACATTTTCGGCCACAATGGCTCCAGCCACCGTAATGATGAAGAAGAATATGCCCGAGAAGACGGCGTAACTTATGTATGTCAGCCAAACCTCGTCGGTCCTGGACGAGACTAGCAGCAGGACACCCAACACAGCCATGCAAGTGGAGTTAAAGAGCATATAGCGGGTGCGGCGCTTGTTGCTGTTCAGCATTCCGGCCGAAATGGCGCCCAGAGCACCCAACAACGTGGCCACGGCCTCGACTCCGCCATTGTAGACACTGAAATTGTTGGGAGCGACCTCCTTCCACAGGAACTGAATGTAAGAAATGACTTGGAGCTGGCCACAGGTGGCCAGAGCCCACCAGACGCTCCATTGCACAACAATGGGATTGGTGTAGGAGGAGATGAAATGGGAGCAGAGTAGACGGCCAGCATTTGTGAGGGAAAATTTAGGCGGGTCCGCTGCAAGAGATTCAATTATTTACTTAGTACGAGCAAGGAATTATGGGTATGGCTACAACCTACCAGTGGGTGTTGGGGGGGCGTCAGCAATCTGCATCGTGTTCTGGCCTTGTTCCTTGTTTTCGGAGCTTGCATAGAAATAGAGGCTGCGCGGCACCTTTGGTAGCATCAGGGAGATGGGCAATGAAATAATTTGCGTGCCAAACGATATGAAGTGCAGGCCCCGGAAGTCCATGGCGTCAAGGGAGATGAGAGTTTGGGCCAACACGCCGCCTAGAAACTTGCCAGTTAAGATCGCCGCTCGCGTATGTCCCGTCACGATCTGGTACCGATCACGATTTACTTTGGTGTATATATAGGTGTAGTAGGCGACCTCGGCGGCCATAAAGGTGCCGAAGAAGATCTGTCCAATTTGCAGCTCCAGCACAGAACGCGTCCATAACAGAATGGCGAACAGGATAATGCCCGCGATGGCGGAGAGCACGATTATCGGCTTGTAGCGCAACAAGTCCGTGACCAGAAAGACAATTACCAGTTGCGCGAGGACGGAGTACGTGCCGAAGGGATAGACCTCCTTGTTAATCTGGTCTGAGGTGATGTTGCGATAGTCCCCGGACAGGTATTCGGTAACAAATGGCTCGGAGGGTCGCAACTCCCGAAAGAATCCAAATGTGCACAAGAGCAGCGACACCTTCAGCCACTTCTCAACCATTTCGGACTCTACGCACGGAACTGTCTATGAACTCTTAAATGAACGTGTTGGGGCACATGTCGCCAGTTCTATTAAAAATACAGCCGCGTGTCGTAACCAGACGGCTCGCAATTCAAACGGCAACTGCGACAGACGCCTTCTCTGCCGATTTGCCAGTCAAGTAGTTCGGGTATTGCCTCTCAGTATTGCTGGTCTCTGTTGGTCCGCTCTTTATCGCTCGCCAAAAAGATTGTCATGCATACGTGAATTTTGTTGATTTGCAATCAAAGCATAAAAGAGATCTTCATCGAGCACTGCGAAGCCGACATGCGAGTACCCTTCCCATTATTGGTAGAATGTGCGGTATAGTTCTATAAACATAATTCTCTAATTTACACGCTGTTCTGCAAAATTATTGCTCTGCTGTTAATGAAAAATGAAATACCATTAACAATTGTTGAACATTAATTTTGATGTTAAAATATACAAATAACATATATGTATGTATATCATTCAAAGCCTACACAGAATACAAAATTGTATTCGAATTTTAGTATTTATTATATGTATAACGACCAGGTCTGAAACGCTCAATAAATCAAATTTTTTTTTCGAGTTCTCTTAGTAGGTGTACTCGTATAAAAACAGTGTGTTTTCTTTGACGTGTGGCGAAAATTTATTTACATTCCGGAATATAAAGAATGTGATTGTCTACAATTCCTTAAATTGAATCAATTTATTCACTTCGATCGAGTTGCCTGACTTCCCTATCCGTCTTTTTCAGCAGCGACAATCGTTTGTTTGGACAATTATGACAGAGTCTTTGTTTTCTGTAATTTCAGACATATGAATTTGTATTATATAGTACATCTGGTAAACAAAACGTTGAACGCACCTACTTGTATTTAAATCGCCGTTAAAGATATCTGCGTCAGCAAAGTTTAATGAAAACTCGTGCCTAAGAATTCAGAATCTATTTCTATACGATGGAAAGGGCGATTATTTGTGTTCGGTATCGCGAAATAGCTTTTGATACATAATTTAGATATATCGGCCCACACAGTAGATGCTCACATTTTCTTGTTAATTGGAAGCTGGGGGTTTAGGTATATATTCGAAAAACCTGTTATTTTTCACAATGAAACCAAAAGTGATTCATAAACTTTACTCCGGAATATACTCTAAGTATTACGTATGTAGTGGCGCTTGTAGCTATATTTCTCATTAATGCATAGTTTGAGAAGCGCTGGGCTTAATACCGCCACCTAGCTGACGATAGCGTAATTTGCTGTGGGTTGCAAGGGAAGTTGGATGTGTTGCAAAGGGAGAAAGCCTCTCTCTGGAATTTCTAAATTCCCCAGACGCTGTCCCATCATAGTTAGGCCGCCATCACAATTTCAGTGGAGTTGAAGCCGTGAAACGTGAAAGTGCAGTTTCTATTTCTACTTAAAATTGTTTCAAATTTATCCAAATTTCAAAATTTACTTCGTTAACCTACGTGGTGTAAATATTGTTAAGTGCCAACGTAGCGATTATATATTGCAACGAGGAAAATTTAATATTTTTCTTTACCTGCGCCAAGGACAAGGGGTAAGATTTTAATGCAGCGGTTACGGTGTAGTCAGTCCATATAAGAGAAAATTTGGTTACAGGACTTGGCGCGTATTACCAAATAAATTTTAATGGTTGACGGCAGCAGTTAATATTGCGAAAAAAGCAAATTCTAAAGAAGCGACTCGCAGTGGCTCAATTCCCTGAATTTGAATTTAAATTTGCCGCGCATGAGCAGCGGACTTTGAACCTCATTTGAGTAAAAGGGAGGGAGGAACAAAAGAGCGCAACCACTTAGCGGCACCGGCGTACGGGAAGAATAGCGACATTGCGAATTAGTGCAAGTGCAGCGTTACCGCCGGCAAACCGCCGCATATTTGTCGGTCCGCGACTAAGCGGAAATAAATAGTGTTTAAGTTATAGTGTTAGTTTTTTTTGTTCTAAGAAAGAATAATGCACTACAAGTACGTGTATTTATATATATAAGTAATCTAATGATTTTGTATTATTAATGTTTTTTTTCCGTCACATAATTCTGCTATGCGAAGGCAGAGGTAAATTGTGCTTAGTTTTTTTGTGTTAAATTATTTTCGTTGTTGTGAGTGAATTTTCAGATGCCACATATTCAGCCCACCGCCCAAATGGAAGCGCTTTCATCACTGGCTAGGAGTGGGGTAAGTTTGTAACTTGTCTTTTTTTTTGTATCCAAACGCATTTAATAATGTTCAAGCTTCTGCGCTAAGCAATGTCAAGCCAGAAATAAATATTTAAAACGGCATTAATTTACTCCCTGCTTGTGTGCCTTCGCATCAGAAGAGCTAAATAGAGAGCGAATAGTTGTTGAAAGAGTACTGCTCTCACGCGGATAATGTCCAGTTATTCTGATCGAATGCGTTAATTCTTACAATTATAAAACTTCTCTTAAGTTTTTTTTTCATTTTTTCTTTCATACTTCTTTTTGCATAAGCAATAATCAAATACAGCTAGAGCATAAGACACAGCTGTTCTAAACTCTATTTATTTGTACGTATGCCATATGATTTGTTTGTCTGATTATTAGCTGTTAAGTAACTATGGAATAAATATAAGTAAACATTGAACTCATGCTGGCCAACGCTTCTGTGTAGGGTTTAAAGAAGGGGTCATCCGTATATTAATAACTTGTTTTCAGTTTGGCAATGATGACCATGGTTGGGTGGGCGAATTTAATCCACAAGCACAGCAGTGGTTATAGCACATCGCACATAAACACCGTCTTCCACCTATTCTATCCTATATCTACTTTATTTCTCGGTCTGTCCCTAATTTTCTATTAGCTAGCAACTAGCACGCTCCCTTTATATTTTTAATATTGTAATGTAATAGTAGAGTAGCACCCGACATATTTATATCTGAGCTGGATGGATTCCCACCCCAAAGCCGACGAGCTAGAGCCGGAAAACTGAGCGTGCGCCAGTTTCAGATAGTTAAACAGTCCTTGATAGCCGCTGAGCAAGCAGTTAAACGTTACACGCTACACGTATCTTTGCCAATTTTATTCAAAATGGACTTGGTTCCAAACAAATCAATGAGGACGCTTAATTTGTAAAAGTGCTTAAAGACGTGGCCTAAAAGAATGTTGAGTATAATTTTAACTATTTTCTACTGCGAATAAAATTTTTAAACTTCGAAAATATTTTCACTGGAACAACCTTTTCTAATTTGCATAGTTGTCTAAATATGTGAAACATTTATATTTCACAGTAAAGCGTAATATTCGAATACATAGCGGTTTTACATTTAAACAAGAATTCAAGAAGTATTTAAATGCAAAAATTCACGGCTAAAATATTTGTGCAATAACAGAACTTATTTTTCGACTTTGAGGTTATGTTTGCGAGAATCCATCGTCATCCCCAATCATTTGGCGACTTGGAGTTCCTCGAAAATTTTTACAAAAAATAACGCTACAGTAGAGCAAGCCCGACAGTGAAATACCCTGAACCCAGACTAGCTTCCGCCACTAAGTTATATGCATCTCTAGCAAAAGCAAGAGAAGAAGAAGAACGAACTTGATGCTGCAGTTTGTGGTCGGAGCACTATACTAGAGTGAAATTGTTTCGCTAATAACTTTTCTTAGAATGGACCGTTTAATGACCGTGAATTTTGAAACAAAAGTATTCGGGTAATGTTGCTTTTAAAATGTGGACAGTATTGACGAAATTCTGTAGCGGGGAGAGGGGAGGGAAAATCACAAAAACAAAATAAACTCGTGTAGCTTAGGGACCAGAAGCATGTATATACCACGTTTGGTTAATGTGCGCTCAACCGTTTCCGAAATCTAGGCGTTCATACAGACGGACGGACATTTCTGGATCGATTGCTCTAGTCATGCTGATCAAGAGATGCTTCCTTCTGCATGTTACATATTTTGCACAAACCTAATATACCCTTTTTACCCTACGGGTACAGGGTATAAAAACTGTAATAAGTATTGCTGAATTATTTATTCCTACTCCATAGTTACATACAGACATTGCTTATTTATTGGCATTATGCTGCCCGATAAAGCCAAAAGCATCTAATCTCCAAACGCGAGCACTTGCGTCTAGTTATACGTGTGTAATTTGTACAATAGGGTGTTGTTTCTCTGTAATCGTGAATAGCTGCTTATCTGCTTGTTAACTGTTTTGATTTAAAAGCTTGCGATAACGTTTGTCGCTCTTCAAGTGCTCGTTTTTTGCCGACATTTATCATCAATAGTGAATACCCAAGCTGCTAACAAAATTTAGATCTTCTCTTTACCAGCCCTGAGCTCAATAGTTTCCTCAAAGAAATATTTCAATGCTAGGTATATTTTTTGTCTCCTTCAGGCCTTTTGAGGAGAGCTTTATCATTGTATTATACATACATATGTACATACTCTATATACGAGCCCTAACCACTATTAATTGGTACGGCAAGGTTTTTTTCGACAGTGCAACTTTCAATGACTCATATTTATTTGTAGGCGATGATTGCCCAAACATATTTATACTTTTTAAAAAGGTCATTGAATTACCTTTAATTTCATATCAAAACATGCACAAGTTTCATATCAACAAAATGAAAAAACTCAATTTAAATAAAACAACTTTCATACTACACGAAATATTTTGACCATTATTAATTGGTACGGCAACATTATTCTTCAAAAAAAACAGTGAAAAATGTAAAATGTAAACAAAAACTGGACAAGTAACGGTAAATAGAATATTGTGATGAAGGAAAAGTAAAAACATATGACATTTAGTTGTAGTTTTAGTTTTATTCTCTGATTTATGAGCATGATGGCACGTGGCAAGCCAGTTTGTGAGGAAGTTCGAGCTTTAATTCTAAAAAAAATTTAATTTGGGCAACAGCTATGGTGAAATATCGAAAAGTCTTATGCTTTCTAAGTCTACAGTTCAAAATATAGTGAAAAGCTACAGAAAGAATGGCAATATTCACTGTAATACAGCGAACAGAGGTCGAGTCTCAAAAGTTACTTCGCGTGACAAAAGAAGTTTGTCGAGTATAATAAAGGAAAATCGGCGAAGTACTGTGAGAGATATATCGGCAAAACTGTCTGCAAAAATTGGGAAAACAGTGAAACGAGACAGCAAATGAAAATAATTGAATATGGCTTCTATAAGGTATGATTGCGGTTCCTGCTTAGCATAACAGATAATTTTTTCTGTACAATTAATATATGTTGGTGTTTTTAGGCCAAAGAAAAACCATTGCTCACAGCTTTGCAGATGAAAAAACGATTGCTATGGGCAAGACAAAGGCAGAATTGGGAACAGAGGCGTTGGCATTCTATAATTTTTAGCGATGAATCCAAATTTGATGTGTGTGTCGGTGATGCTCGAAAACGAGTAATACGAAAACGTACGGAGGCATATCACAAAGATTGTCTTAAACGTACAGTCAAGTTTCCAACGAGCACAATGGTGTGGGGATGCATGTCAGCCAAAGGTGTGGGACAACTTTACTTTATAGATGGAACTGTAAATGCAGAAAAATACAAGTGTATCCTTCAAAGTAATCTCCTTCCATCAATACCAAAGCTTTCTGAGTGTGGGGAATATACCTTTCAACAGGATGGTGCATCACCACACACCGCAAAAACAACCAAAAATTGGCTTCAAGAAAATGGAATTGATGTCTTAGATTGGCCGTCATCAAGCCCAGATCTAAGCCCAATAGAAAACTTGTGGGCAATCATCAAAAGAAAGCTGAGGAATGACCCACAGCGTACTCTGTCAGGACTAAAATCAAAAATTCAGGAAATCTGGGATTCCATAACTCCAGAAGAATGCCTAAAATTAGTAAATACCATGCAGAAGAGAATTCAGGGTGTTATTAAAAATAAAGGAGATGTTACTCAGTTTTAATGAATATATAATGTTGCCGTACCAATTAATAATGGTCAAAATATTTCGTGTAGTATGAAAGTTGTTTTATTTAAATTGAGTTTTTTCATTTTGTTGATATGAAACTTGTGCATGTTTTGATATGAAATTAAAGGTAATTCAATGACCTTTTTAAAAAGTATAAATATGTTTGGGCAATCATCGCCTACAAATAAATATGAGTCATTGAAAGTTGCACTGTCGAAAAAAACCTTGCCGTACCAATTAATAGTGGTTAGGGCTCGTACTAGATAACGAGTAGAACGGGAAGTAAAAAATGTAACAGTTAATGTGTATAGCAACAGATAATGTCAAGCGGGCCTGTTTCCGTTTTCAATTACTTGTACTTTTCAAAATTGAATTGATTGCATTTCCGAATTGCATTCCATTTGGTATTTGTCTATCCGAAGATTTTCGTTATTGTTGTTCGCCATCAAAGTTAATTTTGAAGCATTTTCATTCCGAATAGATAATAGCTTAATTTGTGAAACAACTATGTTTTCAGAAGATTTATCGCATGATAGTAAAAGTACGACTAACTCCATAATTCTCCTCAGAAACCAGAATTTTGATTGGGAATAATCTGGCAGAAATCGGAATCGGAAACTGGTCGATAATATATCAACAAAATCGGTCGTTCGTTAGTGCTTCATATCTTACATCTACAATCCACAAGCAATATTATGATAAATAAATAAAAATCTGTTTTTCCATTTAAATGTATAATATAATTCAATGACATTTTACTAAAAAATCGTATTTTTATCATCAATTTAACATTTTTATCTATTTAGACACACATCGCTCTTGACTTTTCGTGTCGAACATTTTCGACTTAAAAACAAAACTTAAGTGACTGCTTAAATTACAAATTAAATTGGTTGGTTATTTAATAAGGCTACGGCATTTATTAATATTTGTAAGATGTATATTTAAAATAGATATAACACTCCACAGCGCGCTCCAACAGGCACACAAGGGACAAAGGTAAAAGGGCTAAAAATTTTATTCTAGATTAAAAATAAAGATGATTATCTTGAAAAGTCTCAAAAAACAAAAAGTAATTTGGTTATCGAAAATTATTGCCGGTTTTTATTTTGCCAAATAAAAACAGAAACCAAAAATACAAAATGTACTAAAAATTTGATAGAAAATGTCTAAATTTTGTCTTGGGCTTGCCAGCAAAATATGTCGGTGTCTGTGTCTGATTCTGTTTCTGGTTGTGTGCTTATCTGCCTGTGTGATGCGGGAGGGGGTGGGCTGCAAGCAATATGTTTGTATTATGTATGGAAATCAGTTGGGTTGGATACAAGGATTACAAGGATTGGGGGTACGAACGAACTGTTTGTGCGTTTCTGTGAATATTTTCTTCATTTTGTCTGCGGCATTGGCGATAGCATTCGGGGAAACTAAATTTGAAATTAGGGCGGTAATGTTTCTGTATTTTGGAGAATCCGCCATTCTTTCACTGATTCCATCGCTTTGCGCTGCGCCGTGAAAATATATATAGACATATATGTATATATCTTTATATTGAGCTTAATATTCAAAATTAAACGAAGCATTGCGTCCGCCGCTAAATTGGAAGAAAGTGCGGAACATTTGGTTGGCATCGAAATCTGCTGTAAAAAAAAATAGGAGATAGGTTAGTGGGGGACCGATTTTGAATTGTTTTTAGAGACTTACTCTGCTCATGCTCCGCAATGTCTTGGCCGCTGTCGTAGCGACTCTTCTTGCGCGTATCTGAGAGTATGGAATAGGCCTCGCCAATTTCCTTGAACTTGAGCTCCTCAACTTTGCGTTCCTCCGCGCTGCTGTTGGCATGTCGGTCAGGATGATGCACCAAAGCCTTCTTGCGATATGCCTTCTTGATCTCATCGTCGGTGGCCTCGCGTGTTACGCCCAGTATTTTGTAGAAGTCCTTTCGTTTCGATTTCTTCAGCTCGAATTTGGCGTCGCGCAGCAGGCGCTTAATCTCCGGTGTCTTCTCGATTTGCAGTGCTGTCTCGTAGTCGGCCACCGCATCCTCGTACTTCTCCAGATCATTGTAGCAGCGTGCTCGCAACAGCAACGCCTTCAGGTATTGCGCATTCAGCTCCAGCACGTTTGTACAATCTGCGACAGCTTCGCGCAGCGCTCCGATGCGCGTGTTGACCAACGCTCGATTGTACAACAGCTTCGAGTTGATATCCTTGTTGAGTTCATCAATTTTCAGGGCATCGGTGTAGATGACATGGGCTTCCCGATAGCGACCCGACTTGAACAACATATTGCCGTTCTCCTTCATCTCCTTCAGCTGCTTGCACTTGCTGCGCATCTGCTTCGATTTGTGATGGTCCGGATCGAGCTGCAGGGCGCGCTCAAAATGTAATATGCCCTTCTCCAGGTTGTCTGTGTAGTAGAGGCAGAGGCCACGCACATAGATCGCATCCGCCGAGGTGCTGTCCAACTTCATGACGCCTACAGCAATGTCCAGAGCTTCTTCGCAACGTTCCAAAAAGGCGAGACATTCGGCCTTTAACAGGCGATACCTGAAATGATTCATCAATCAGTACATTTGTAAGAATAAGGAGAGATATAAAGTCTACTTGGATTAAAGTTCTACTGAAGCCTAACTATTGTAACGATTACACGACTGGCATGTCTCAAAAGGGCTTTTAATTTCTTAAAAAATCGAAACTGTTTGAGATATTTGTTGCTAACTCAGAAATGGGTAGTAAGAAAGAAATTTAGACTATTGAAATATTTATAGACATAGAAACATGTTCCTGTCACTAAGATATGGTACGATCCAAACGGTTTAAGGTCTCTCTCTCTCTCTTTCTTTATCTATTTCTGGGTAGTAAACCAATAGATGATTGATTTATTTTCAGCTTAGTGAACATATCTATTTGTAAGCAGCTCCCTTTTCAAGACCTATAGTCTCTAGTTCCGAATCAGTATCGTTGGGCTTGTGTACTTACCGCAAGCATGCTGGTGCCACTTTGAGCGCACTATCCAGATAGAAGACCACATTCCGATAGGCTTGCGTATCGTAGTTTGTCTGTATCGTGGTCTCTAATTGGCGCAGCTTCTGCACCGCCTGCTGCTCAGAACTCAGTGCCGTACTTTGTGGGTCCAGTTCGGCAACAGTCTTGACCGCCTGCTCGGCGCCAATGATGTCGCCCAACGCTACACAGCACTTGGCCACACGCACATAGGCCTTCTCGAACTTCGGATCCAGCCGGATGGCGTTGCGTGCATCGCTCAGGGCGCTGTTGTAGTTGAGAAGCATCATGTAGCAGGCGGCCCGATTGCCATAGTAAGCGGCCGAGTCTGGGCAAAGGGAAATCGCATCGGTATAGAGTTTGAGGGCACTTTGGTAGTTTTGTGCCTTGTATTGGTCGTTGCCGAGTTTCTTCTTTTCTTCTGCAATGCTGAAAGCACAAGGAAACAAAAAATAAATAAAAACTTGAGGCTGGTCATACACATACGTTTGTCATGCAAAATTCATAGATCGCTTTTAGGCGCGCACAAAAGAATAGCCCCCCACGGAGACAGACTACATTCCCATTACAAGCAAGCGAGCCAGCGAGCGGAGACGAGACAAGAAGGCGAAATGCACGTAATTTGAATTTTTAATTTCATGTCGCTGTCGTTTGATGGCATCGCCCGCCGGCAGTGCACTTTCCTCAAGAAATAGCACAACAAAAAGCAACAGGAAGTAATCCGCTTGCCAAGCTGAAGCGCCCAAACCATTACGATATTGTACAGTGGGTTCGAAAAATCCGGAGGAAAACCTGAGATATTCAGGTGAGATGGGGGACTAAAGGACTATTATTCCTCCTTACGATTAGTCTCCTTAATGCTTTGGCAATGCTTTATGGCATTCAGTGGAAACACTTTGGTGATAAAAATTGTCTTTACTTTGTCTAGAAAGTTTAGGTTAATACAATTAATAAATTGTATAGCTGGCTACAAGAGCTTACTATATTATAGAAGCACGCAAATTACTTCCTCTTGTTGTTCAATATCTTCAAACAAGTTCCGAATTAAATAAGAGGTTAAGTGAAAAATTCATCCTCAAATACATATGTACGTTCTATATGGCACGATTGCTCCCTTTTCTTCACGGTAAGATTTTAATCTTTTAGTTTGTAATGTTATGCTAAAGGGCTAAAAGGCACGTAGAAAATGTCTACAGCAGAGCTAGAATAACCAATTCATTTTGTTTCAAGTTTGTGCTTTAATATTTCCCCGCAAAAGGGCGAAAATGTACCTTTTCAAATATGTTAATATATGAATATATAGAAAATAATCAAATCTACAAACTCTCAAAAAACGCACGTTTAAGTCTAAATCAAATTTTAAATTCGAAAGCAAAACACATTTAAATCAAAACAAATTGAATTGAACCGGGTATAGGGTATACACGTAGGATTAGGATTCGCGCGAGCCTAGCATTCTGCGGGTTACTTTAAATGTTAAAAAAAAGTTATACAGCTTTCTTGGACAGCAGTCCTATAAAAATTTTGGGAACAATTTCTATGCCCTCGTTCTACCGTGCGCCCTTCTTGGCAAGCGCAACAACCTGTCCACTCAAATGGAGCAAGAAATTATGGTAGCTATAACAAAAAAGAAAAAAAAAACATAAGAAAAGTTGAGCACAATGGCCGCCAATAGGCCGAGACAGTAATGCGAGAACAGTTGTTGCAAACCAACCAAACACACCCCCCCTGAAGCACACCCACACCCACCAGACTATATACCCATCAAAAACTGTGAGCCATATTGCACATACGCCCTGTGGTGCCATTTGGAGTTTTGCCAGCGCCGGCTTAAGAAGAGGAACCGATTTAATGCGTTTGCGTTATGCTGTTCACACTGTACGAGTACATAGGACAGAATACATACTCGTACATGGCATTAGTGATTGTTGTTGTCGTCGTTATTTATTTGCCTTTGCCTTGTCGGTTTTGTGGCATATTTACTTGGCACATTAAAATGCATTGAATATTATATTGAGAGTGGTGGTGCCACCCCACACCCACGCCCACGCCCATGCCCTCGCCCACAACCATGCACATGCACATGCACAAGCCACCCATATTGTCAGCATGGCAACGAGAATGAATTCGCGACAAAAGAAAGCTATGGAGGCGGCTCAGTGACTCCAAGTGGTTGATTGCTTGTATTCAGCGGCAATAAATGGAATTATTGAGCCAAATGGCCAATAGAAAAATAATTAATGCTGCGATAATACGTATAAAGTGGAAATATGGAAGTCTGCGTATTAAGGGCAAGTAAAGCAAACTAATGATCAGATGACAAGCAGCCGATTGGCAGGCAGACAGATAGACGACAGACTAACATTTGACGTTGACGTTTTGATGTAAATTACTTTTAAATTTTCATTTCGCTTGCCAACAACAAAAACAACAAGCGCAGCAGCAGTACCAACAAAAACGTTAGCATTTTTTTTCCAAGCGGCAGCAAAACTTTTAATTGCTGCCATAACTTGCAAAAACGCGGCTTGTGCCAAAAAGCATGAAATCGGGGCCAGTCTATAGGTGGAGGGGTAGGGGCGCGGCAGCAGGGTCTGTACTCCAGTCAACAGCAGTTTGCATAACAATTAGAAAAACCCATAAAAGTCAAATTCGCAATGCTTGCTTGATTGGACCGAAGACGACAACGAATATTCCACAGACGACGCCATTTAAACGCCAGCCCGAAAGTAGGCAACAGAAACATGAATTTGATTTACAGTTTCCACAACAATACAATTTAATAATTTCTATGAAGCTAAGCTCCACTCCGTTCCAGTGTCGACGACATTCTTCAGGGGAAACTGCAAAGCTATTGTCGTTTAAAAATATTGCATTAGATCTAGCTATCTATCTCAGGGTAATTGGTTTCTAAGAAGCTAAGCTCCAATTCTTAGCAGTGCCAAAGACATTCTTCAGGTACTGAAAAGCTATTGTCATTTAAAAGTATTGGACTAATTGGATTTAATTATTTACTTTTTGGTTATTGTATTATAATACGAATCTGTTATTTTCGTAAACAAAAATACATAAAACTTTGTTCCTATGACTACTATATGGTAAGTATGGATTATTGTTGAATTATCTATGCAATACAATTGTTTGACATAATAATGACACACACACTTCTGTGGATAAAGCCATCTTCTACCTTCCAGTAAGGCTATAACCCCCATTCGCCAACACTTCCCTTTAATTGCCAATTAAAAATTGCAGGACTGGCAGCGCCATTGGAAAGCAGGACGTAAGGTAGGTGGTGAAAAATTTAATTTAATTTGTATGTTTTTCTTTGCTTTTTAAGTGATTTTTCCTCTTCGTTTTCTTTGAAGTAAAAAGTGGAACGCACAATCTAAAAAAATGTAGAAACTAAATGTGCAATTTATTTACAGGCAAGTGCATTAAACCGCAACCGAAAATGCACGCAATGCCTATTTAAATTACCAGCGAGCCAGAAAGCAAGCCACACAAACCCATCTGGCAATGGGCAGCTTCTACCTTCCACTCCCTCCTCTTCCTCCGCGACCGCCTCCTACAGCGCCATGGGTACGAGTTGGAGTAGTCAGCCTGCTAGATAAATAAAGTGAAAACTCTACTAAATATGCACGAACCAACACATGCAACACACACCTGCGCGCCAACCAAAACGCTGCTGGGACAGACAGACAGACAGACAGACAACAGGCAGCGCCGAAAAACGAATGGCTGGCAGGAAAGGAAATGAATGTGCGCGATGGAGAGGGGGGGTTTGGGGCAATTCAGGAGGCGGTGGAAACTACTGTGTGGAGCAGGTCATCACACCAAAGTTCAATGCGCGATAAGCGACGAGTTGAAGTCAAACGTTGCACGTTGAGAAGCGCGCATGAATAAGTAATATCGACAGGTAGAGACAGGTGGGGCGGCCATGACGGGGCACTGTGGCAAGAGTGAGAGGAGGTGCATTGTGAGGAGGCGGGCGGCAATGTGGGAGGCAAGCAGAAAATGCATCTGCTGATGAGAGTTCTGTTGCAAGTGCCCCGCTGGCTTATTTTTGTTGTTGGTGTTGCTTGCTGTATTTGGCATGTAATGCCAACGATGTGAAGATTTATGCAGAATACTGTCAACTGTCGCAGTAGTTATCAGATGCAAGTTATGCCGACAGGACATGGAAACCATATCTTGGTGGCTGAGGACACACAGACACAAACTCTTCCTATACACAGCTTTAACTGCGACGATAAAGTTTTATTTGAAAGGGAAATGTGAAATGTTTAAACTTCAACTAGAACTTGAATTCTAATGTTAATGCAAAGAAGAAGGATAGAGAGTAGAATAGAGGGTGGTAGGGCAGAGACAATGCTGAATACAAATACTCGAATAATTTTATATATTTTCTTCAATCTGAGCAATTCTTAAGATATGCTTAATCTAATCTGCTTCCATGGAACATACATATATATTCATACAACAAGTTATCTGTTGCACTGTTCATAAACAAGGGTCAAATTTGCAAGTTCTTTGAAGATCTGGGGTCTGGCTTCCGTGCTGTCTAGACGATTGACCAACTTCATTAATAGATTGGTCTTAAGAATATAAAACTAATTATCATAATGGATCTCTCCGTATTGATATGGCGACTGGAAAGCGCACAAATAAAAGGAAATCCATAATGATACTATGGATGAGGTTCTGGATTACAACTTTCTCGAGTGATGCTTCTTTAAAGAAAATATTCATTTTTAGAGAACTTTCTCACTCTTTCCTCCAGAACAATTTGCAGAATTGTTAGAACAGTGGACTGGAAAACCTCGTACCTCTAGATATCTCTTCACTCTAATTATTATTATTTGTGTTAACATTTTAGCCAATGTTTATCAAAAAACAAATTCTTATTAGTCTTTACATGGCTGCTTTAAACATCTGTTTAAACAAGGAAATAAGTTAAAACAATTAAATGATTGGCGTATAAATTAGTGTTTTTAATTTATTACTGGAACTACAAAGTTTTCTTTTAAACATCGTTTTAAAAAAGGCATAAAGTATTTTTAGTTTTACAATAAAACTTTCCATGGGTCCATCATTATTATTTTTCCAAACACTGTGATCTTTTTTTTAAATATGAAACCATTTTAAAATCTTTGCATAGCTTCAAGTAAGACCAGTTCTTAAAATGTGGTTACAAGAAAAAGATGTCCTGAAAACAAACTTAAGAACCGCTGTTGTATAGTATTTTATGAATAATTAGAGATATTTTCCACGATTTTGTTTTTCAACTCTTGCTTTAATAACTATTAAAGATCTTTTTTATGTACGTGTATTTAATATAAAGAAATCGTGTACTTGCTTATATTTTGAACTGTTGCATTTGTTTAAAAAATAAACTGACTGTGTTTAGTTCATAAAAATGGGAAAAGAGT